TTTGCCCTGTCCTAGAGCTATGGTGAAGAGGAAGAAGAGGTGCGCGAGGGAGAGAGAGGGTCAACTTTGAACGGAAAATATGCCCCTAGGCACAAACAAAAAACGAGGCTAGGGATGAGGAAGAAAGCTGCTGCGGCTGGGCATGAACTCTACGATGGCGCGTACTTGAAAAATGAATATAAAGGAGGAAGAGGACGGGCTGGGATTGTCATTGCTGGGGTGCTAAAATCGGAATTACTATGGCTCAATTCGCCACTTGCGCGAAAGACTTTACGATCACCTTTTTTTTGAGGATCAAGACTTCAAAATTCACAATGTAAAAAACAAGAAATTCAAGAATTTATTTAAACTAATGAAATAAATTATTACTTATAGCTTGGAGCAGTTTTAGTCCGTAGAAAAGCAAAGAATTTCTAAAAACTTCCGCTGTTGATTTCATAGCCTTCAAAAAATTTAAATTGCAAAATCCGATGGAATTCACCATTTTTTAAAGCCCAAAACAACGAAATTTAGGCTTTTAAACCAATAAGAACCAATCTTCTATCGTTAATTTTCGAGAAAAGTTTTGGGTTTCGAAAAATCGCAAAGAAGTTTTAAATTTTGCAAGGTTGCTTCCTTAATGTTGAAAGCCTAAAATGCATCAATTTTCACACTTTTTTGCTACGTGCTACTCCGATTTTGCAGCCCCGTCTGGGCCATAAATGCATTTGCTTAAATTTATTAGGGCATAAATTGGCCTGCCGCGGAATTGCCGGCGATTTATGGCGGCAGTTTTTTAGCGTGACTCGAATTAAATCTAGAAAAATGGACAAAAATTCCTTTCGATCACGTTTGGCTGCAAAAATTACAGAAAAATATCAAACTTAGTTTATTTAGGTTTTAAATAAGTTTTTATAAATTGGCTGAATTAAAAAGTCGCGCATCCTCGAAATTTAAAACTTATATGCCGCCTATTTTGCTAAAACACTGAACCGGCTTTCCCCAGCTTGGTGACGCCGTGGTGGACACTTGTTGCGGAACAAAAGAAGAGCCCAGCTAGGGTTCTTAGCTTTTCAGCATAGGTAATAGGATGGGTCCGGCTGGGCAGATGGCCCAATGGACCCCCGACGGCATCAGGGATTCTGCAGAAAAATTCCTGAAGTGGGCGCCTTTTAGGAGGCTGGGGGAACGGCTATTGGATGGGTAATACGCTCCAGATCTTTGAGGTGAGGTCAGGGAGGCAGGAAAGTACGTTCTGAACGCTAAAAACCAGCTAAACCGATCTCGGTTCTTTGGACTTCGGGTGCAACTATTTTCTGTACACGACCAATGCCTCTTCTTCTTAATTTAAGAGGAAGAATTTCGAAATAGTTTCAGTAAAATAAACCATATTTAAATTAGCCGAGCTAAAAAAACTTTCAAAAAATATTCAAGAGACGGATTTTAGTTTTTAGAAAAATAAAGAAGTCGAACGCCCGAGGAATCGAAGCTTTTTTTATATTAACAAAATGACCTAGGATTTTACCTTTAGGAGTGGTAAAAACGTGTTCAGAAATACTTCCGGTATTTTTTTTGAAAAATGAATACTGTCCAATCCCAGGTGATGATAATGCAAAAGAAAAATGGCAGCGATGCGATGGTAGTAGTTGCCTACGCGAAAAGACGCTGATTTACATAAATAATTTTCTGTGTAGCCAGTCTCCGAAAGAACCTTTACTCCTTTTCTATCTTCCCGCCCTCCTATTCGGTCGGGCTGTTCGTTGTCGGTCCGCGAGATGCTTCAGCAGCTGTGGCGTGCCCTTTGCTGGTTGGGCGTCACTCGAAAGCCGGAAGACGTCGAGGACCCGCAGCCCAAGGAGGTGGCGCTTGCAGCATAATGCTTAGGCTCACGCACGCAACGCAACGGCAACCGCCGCTTTGCGGTTTTTTGCCATAGCTTTCGACAATGCACCCAACGCCTTGTAAAAGACCCGCGCAATGTCCGCCCCACACAACGCGCGCTACACGAAATTCAACGCAACGCAAGCCATCTGACGACTGCAATGTGTTCGTCAGCCGCCGTACAATGGAAGGCCGCACGCGTCGAGTGTCGCAGTCTCGGTTGGGAATCGATATAAAAAAAGGCTTGCCTTGCGGGTTCCTTTCCACAAATCGACAAAAATGACCATCGCTCTGCAGCCGGTTATTTTATGCCCCCCGTTAAGCAACCTTTACCGAATCTTGCTTGTTTGAGATTGCCGACGCTCCACTCGTCATCCTGCAACGGCCATATCCCGTACCCCGCGAAGTCGGTCTTTTCAATACCCCTAGTCGTAATCGGAAGTGTGTGCAACAACCAAAGGCTTTGTTCCATTTATACGTTTTCAGGGCGCGCTCCTCGCCCTCGAAAACTTTCAACAGATGCAGCGTCCGATCTGGTTGATGCTGATGGAATTGCTGAGCCCGCTCGACCTCCTCAACCTAGCCCACGCCCATCCACTCTTCAAGGTGGCGCTCCGAATTTGAGAGCGTACCATTGGAATTTCCAGGATCTCATCACCCGCTCGCCAAAACGATGGGGCACCGTGGAGGAAATTCCGAAAGGCCCCGGAAATCCGGCCAGCCAGGCCAATGGCAAGTGAGTCGCGCATCATTGTGCTGTTCAGCTACCCCGGCCTTAGGGTGATCAGGGTGCAGACGCCGCGCGGCAGTTGGGATCGGGCCACCAGCTACATCCTGTTCTATGGTGACGAGTACGGGTGGGTACAATTTGACACGTGAATTTGCGCGCCGGAAGTCCCAAAAAAGCTTCATTCCGGCATTTGTCCGCCGGGATCCGAAGGGTCGCAGAATTAAACCAGGGCACTAGACCCTTAGTGGGGGGGGGGTTTGAGCGGGAGGTGAAACGAATTTTTCCAGCTAATTCTGTGCGGCCCTTTTGAAGAAATATTAGCGATTTTGGGGGATAGAAATCTTTTAAAAATTATAAGCTTTTTCGCAACATTTTTTTAAATTTTGGTCGAAAAGATTAGAAAATAGCCAGCGAAGGTCAAAATCCAACTTGTTCTAAGGATCCGATTTTTCTAATATGAAAAAAGCAGTTTTTTTGTGATTCCTAAACAAAAAAAATTTCCAAAGCTTGATGAGCAGCTTCTTCAAAAAAAATCGTTTTTCGACCAAAAACAGCCGATATTCAACCAAAATTTCATCGTAGAAATTTTTTCTAACTTCTTTTTGGTTGTTTCTCGGTCAAAATTGTTTTCAATTTCGCGTAAAATTTTAAAACTTTAAGTGTTTTAGATTCTCTTTTAAAGTTTAAATTTGAAACATAAAAGAACTATTAAAACATTATTCGTACGCCGTTAAAACAGGGAAAGGCTTTGTACTCATTCTTTTGGCTACAAAACAATCATGAGCGTTTAGATATGCGGAGACACAGCGTCGAATTCAATTTCTCACCGGCGCCTGGCAGGGCCGCTGTCAGTATGTTCCGCCAAGGGCTGACCGCGAAGGGCCCGCCAGACAAGACTTGTTCATCTTGATGAACAACGCCACGCTTGAAGAGGTATTGAACATCTTGAAAGTCTTCCAAGTCTGAATTTCAGTACGGACCAGGGTTGAAAAGCCGCTTCGCGACTTTTCAACCCTGGTCCCGTCTCACCCCCATGCAACTTCCCTTTGCATAAACCCCTGAACTCCTGTGCAGAAAAATGAAAATCGCGTCCTCTCCCCCATTATATAGGCTCCCCACACTTCCGGTGCATGCTAATTGATTCTTAACAAAGAGGCGGAACGGGATTTTCACAAAAACTTAATTTTAATATCGAAAACTGCTTATTTTCAAAAATCTGATAGGTGTGCAGTCGTTTCATGACGATCACGCACCTAATGACGTATCATATATGCCCTTAACCTCTTCCTTTATTGAGATACGACTGGAACATACGGACGGAAGTTGTATGCAAATGCACACACACACACACACACAGACACTATTTTTTTATATTTCAGTACGGATTCGGCCCTGGATGGAAATTGCCCGCCATCGAGAGCTACCCACAGCCTCCGATTTTCCGAATCCACATGGCCATGCTCGACATCAAAGGGCCAAAGAAGGATATTTGCACCAAGATCGGTTGGTGCAAGGTTTCAATGGATGAGGGGAGGGGTTACGATCAAGATGTCGGAATTTAAAACAAATTTAACATAGGTTCTTGACTTTCCCTGAACCTAGAAACTTTACAATTTTCATTAAATAATACAACCAATTCCGGTTTTTCGAGCAAAATGCTCGATTTTTCGACAACAATTTCAAAAAAAGTCTGGAAAAATTTACTTCGAACTTGATGAAACCTTACCTAAAAAACTTATGAAAATACTTACTATTACGGTGGTAGGCATTCCTGAATTTTTCGGCAAAAATTTTCACCGAAAAACCCTGAAATACTACGAAAAAATGACGACATTCGACGTGTCGATATTATGTACCTTCGACTTTATGAAATGTCGATATTATAAATGACGACAGTATGTAATTTTGATATTATCAAATTTTGATGTTAGAAAACTGGCCATTCTGTTAGCAAATCACATGAATTTTGGCTTGCAGCGCCCTACAATCCGAGCTCCGTCGCTATCCATGCCGGCAGTGACCAGGCCCCCGGCGACTTGCAAGCACTCGTCCGCAAAGTGACACAGACCCTACCAGTACGATAACGGATTCACTATCAGTACCGCGTTTTCAGGACCTCAAGCTTTTCTGGCTGCACGTGGGCCATGATATTTTCTCGCTCCATCTGCTACTCGGCATCAAAGCCCCGACTATCCTGGCTGGTTGTTGGTTGGATGAGAGGAATGGTATGAGAGGATGCTGGTTTCTCGGTTCTGGACTGTTAGCGGGGGGGGGGGCTGCACTCTAGATACCCCCCAGCCGGCCCCCAACGTTTGTATCACAGCTCCCTGTTCATCTACCGGTGTGTAGAGTATACGAAACTGCTCGCCGGAGCAAGGCGTACATTTTGGTAGACTTTACATACCTGTAGATGAACAGGGAGCCCAGATACGGTAGGTGGGGGTCGGCTGGGGGGGGGGGGGTTTCCTGGAGTCAAACCGTGGGAGGAACCAAATTTTTCCGTGTGATTCATATAACAAAATATGAACCATTTTTTAGCACTTTACATAATTTTTAGACATAACAACAACAAAAATAACAAAAATTTTCGAGAATTCTTGACTATCAGGTCAAATAATTCTTGCTAAAAGTGCAGAAATCCCTGTTAACTGGTAGCAAAAACTCCCAATATTTTTGGCAAAATTTAACCATATTTGAAGCCTAAACCAATCCCAAAAATTTGGCAAATTTTTATTTGCGAATTTTCGGTCCAACCCAACCTTATTTTATGCAGAAAAACGATATTTTGGAAATTTTTTTTCGCAAAATTTGGAAAGTTGGTTGGTTTGTTTAGGTGTGGGTTTGTCTAAAACGGCTTAGAAACCTTTCCGTTATTGATATTAGAAAATTTAGATCCCAGGAAAAATTGGTCACGCCCCCCCCCGATAGTGCAAATGAACCTCTGATTGTGCCCCGCGTAGGCCTTGATAAATTTTGGATTTTAGTGACCGAGTACCGTGGATGGAGTGAAGTAGAGTACGTCGTGCGCGGTACCTACATCCAACAGCTGTTGCCCACCCTCGAGCCCACCCTGGCCACATTGATTCTGGTAGTGATTGAGTCAAATGCGAGACACTCCACCCTTGCAGCAATGGGAACGTGGCCAGCGGCAAATCGACCACATCGTCCTCCACTCGCACTCGGTCAGCGGCGACAATATGGTCGACTGGGACAAACTAACGACAAGTCGGTTATCACAATAAAGGGGCGCGGTTCTGGACTGTTAGCGGGGGGAGGGGTGGAGGTACGTGCGTGCGACGCGCGCCACGCGTGACAAGCTCCAAACGTCTCGCCGAAAACACGATTTGGAATGCAAATTTGGGCACTGGACTCTTAGCTGGGGTCGGGTGGGGTGCGCTTTCCAGCTTATTTTTCGGCAAATTGAACGGGAAAAGTTGTTTTCCTGCCCATAACTAAAATCCTCGCCCCGTCCGCGTGCGGAATTGCCTGCTCTTCCGTTTCAATACGCGACTATTCGCCTACGTTCCACGTTTTAGAGGTGGCCGAGCTGGCTGGGAATCTAGCGCGGGGCAAGGCCGACGCCGTCGTGCTGGGCGACGACCCCAAGTCATGGCTAATCCGTCGTCGCCGCTGGGTAAGCACGAACATTTACAACCGCTTTCAAAACATTAGGGAACGGCCTCTACATCCAGTTAACTTCCGGACATTTTGCTTGGCGAAACTTTACAAAATGGCGTGTAAAATAGCGGGTTTAGATAAAAACCTGGTTATGAGGATTGTTCCAAACTCGCAGTTTCAAGGGCTTTCGAATGGTGTAACTATCGTTCTGATCCGATACTTCTGCGTCGAGTTAGGGGCAGGGGGGGGGAGTGGGGTGTTTTTTAATGGGGCACCCTGTAATGACGACTATTTCTCTATTTCCAGAGCAATGAGGGCCTGCTGATCGCCGTGCGCCCAAAGCTGATCGTACTGGCCACCTGTGACTACAGGTTCCGCAGGTTGCCCTCCCTGGCGCTCGCAAACAACTCTTCATGTCGCATAGGACTTCGACTACGAGTGACTGGGACGCCTACCACGACGCCGTCGTCCTCGCTGACGGCCCTCTGCGCCCGCGACGCTTCGAGACGTACTACGATAACGGAAATAACTTGCGGGTGGCCACGATCGGCGAGATGGAGGTATATATCTTGGATGCTTTCCCAATGTCGGTAGACCAACTATTTTCCTGTATGTCCTGAAACGCCTAATACCATACTAGTCAGCATTTTGTTTGCGGGGGGGATCAAGCCAAAATGTTCCGGTAATTCCGTACGGCCCGATAACCAATTATTAATTATTTTTATCGCATTTTGCATCGTTTTTAGATCCAAAATGTTTATCAACAAAAAACGTCTCAAAATTTGTCGAAAATTTTGACTTTTTGGGCAAAATGTATGAAAAATGACCAAAACGGGCAAATTTTCGAATGTCAAAATTTTTAAAAGTATTTTTTATAACTTTCGAGAGATACCGCTAAAAATGATAAAAATACATCATATATACGTTTGGAAAACAGAAAGTGGTTTTCCCCTTTGCTAAGAGCACCCCCCCCCCAAAACCCCCCCCCCCTGCGCTATGAGCCCAGAACCAGTATTCTAACAGTTTTTTTCGTTAAATTAATTATGTTTCTAGTGGGAAAACAAAAAAAAAAAGTTGGCAAAGAGTTTTAGTCGACAATCTTGATTTTTCATGATTTTAAAAACAATTGTATGGCTTTTACCTTTAAGAATATTGTTTAGAAACTGGCAAAGGCAAAAACTGTTTAAAACACTTCCTGCATTATTAGAACCGCCCCCCCCAAGATTGCGAAAGAACTGTTTCTTGGGAGGTGCGCACGTAGCGCTTTTTCAGCGCCTCTCTCACAAGCGCGTCTTCGAAGCCGGCGTCAAGCAGTTCATCGATGAATCCCCCTTTTGCTCGATCCCAAAGCGCGAGCTCGCTATTCACCACGTAGGGAACTGCATTGCAGTCTTGAAATCCATCCTTCATTTCTAGTTCTTGGCCACTCCGGGCGCGCTGGCCACCCGATTTTTGGTGAGCCTGCAAATGCTTCTCGCCTAAACGCTTCTTTTTCAGATGGCCCCCGAATTTGGCCTCGACTGGGCGCACAATGCGGTGGACGACGTCGTCAAGTACTACGCCCAGAACCAATACGAGAAGAAGCACTGAATCGAGCATGTGATAGGATATATTTGTGCTCGGATTTTTTGTACTTGCCAAAGAATGACGGATGTGGAATAAATGGTTGGGCAAAACTTGCAGTCGCTCTATTTGAATGACGATGCATCTCTCTCTATCTCTCGTTCACTCACTCTCTCTTTTACTCTCTCCCTCTCGCTCTCACACCCCCTCTCTCCTCTCCTCTCTCTCGCTCTCTCTCTCTCTCTCTCTCTCTCTCTCTCGCTCTCTCACTCTCTCTCGCTCTCTCTCAACCTCTCTCTACCTCTGTGTGTCATGCGCCTCTCCTCTCCACTCTCTCTCTCTCTCTCTCTCTCTCTCTCTTTCTTTCTCTCTCTCTCTCTCTCTCCTTCCTGCTCTCTTACCCGACCTATTGCTCATAGACTCCTGGCCACTGCCACCAGTAGAGAACGAAATTAAAGTAAATCCAAGAATTTTCTGAGATGAGTCATGCAAACATAAAATTGAAGAAACTGTAAATACACTGCCGGACATAATTTTGGCTCCACCCAAATTTTTGCGATTTTCTCGCATGGTAGCGGAGCATACTGGACGCGCTTCAAGGATAGGGTTTGTCAAAGAGACTGTAAACTGGGTTTAGAAGGAAATCTCCGAAAAAATTTTAATTTTTTCGAAAATGGAATTTTTGTAAAATTTCGCTTCTGGCAAGTGGTCATAATTTTGGCTCCACCTCGGAAAACTCAAAAAATAAAAAATTTCAAATGATTCTCAGAGTAGTTTTGTAAGGAAAGGGGTACCTAAGGTGTCAAGGGGTCTGCGAAAACCGATTCCCGATGCCCTGAATCCGGTCGTGGATGAGCATCTGGCCGAAACTCTCCCCTGTTTCGAAGTGAGCCTTCTTGATGCATTTTCCCTCTGGATAGCGGCTGTTTTTAGCACAAAGCGATGCCAACGTGTTGCCCTAACTGCATTTTGATGAATTAGAGGCCGCGGATTGAGCCGCCGCTCAAAAAAATCGGATTTTGTGAGATCGAATTTTCGATTTTGATCGTTGGCATCCACGAATTTCGGCCTAACTTGCTTTAATGCAAAGTTCATGCTCAGATTTTGCCGGCGACATAACCGGGGCCGCTGTTCGGAGGTGTACTCGTACTGATCGGGCTTCATTGGCTTGGAGGCGGAGCTCAGCAGATCCGCCGTGGAGCGATTTGATGGAGCGGATGAAGGCTCAATCCGACACGCTTCATTCCTTGAAGCTTTGTGGCTAGAAGTTCATTGGAATGAAGCCGTTGGCTTGTGGTTGGACTGTAGACTGTTGGACCCCACGGGGGCAAAATTTTCCTTTCTTACGACCAAATCCTAAGCGGCCGATTTGTGAAGGCCTCAGCTTCGACTTGCTCAACTGGAAAGAGCAAGCTGAGCTCCGCTTCCAAGCCGATGAAGCCCGATCAGTACGAGTACACCTCCGAACAGCGGCCCCGGTTATGTCGCGCGGCAAAATCTGAGCATGAACTTTGC